ATAAAATATACGAAGGGGATAAATAGAATAAATAGGAATAAAAAATAAAAATACAAGTGAATTGCACATTTCAAGTATTGAGGTCTATTACTTGGAAAGGCTGCCGTTACTCCAGCGCCATCTTTACTAAAAGATATTTAGCAATAAATCATGACAATTATATTAAAGCATTTGGGTCTATACCTTCAGGGGTTTGTATGCTTTATAAGAATAAACACTAATATCCCTTCATACCACAGGCCACTGGCATCTCCAATACAAACTGTTGTTGGTAAGACTTCTGGCAGAGATTATGTGTTTTTATCTCAGAACATGTATTTAAAGGATTTGCACTGTTCTGAAACTACGTATTATTTGGGCTCCACAAAAACTAAAGACAATTCAACATTGATAACAGGTATATGATTAACTTGTTAATCTTAAAGGTTAAATTTCATATTCACAAATCCAAATGTTTAGGGAGACATCCCTCCTTTTATGTATACTCCTATGAGCTTTTATAATATCTAAATTCAATTAAGAATTCTACTAACCCCAAAGGCTATGGTTGTATGTGAAAAAATAAAGATCCTCCAATCTTTACTCTTTGGCTTAATCAGTTAAACTTCTCCCCTTAGCGTACCGGTATGCGTATTGTAGGTTCTGAAAAATGGTCGTTTGTTTGTTTGTGGTTTACAATTTCTTTAAGTACAACACCTTCAATGTAATACTGTTTTAATTCTACTTTGTACTGACCTTTAAATAAAGGTTTAAAAAGAGAGAAAAAAACTATAGAGAGAGACCATATTTCTCCTATATTGGCTTCCCCTCAGTGGCTCCCTGTTAAATCCAGAATAGTTGGAATAACTGCAGATTAATAACATCAGATGAGCTCGGTGCTGTTACCTCTCCTCAGGGCAGCGCTGACCCGCGGGTGGAGCAGTAGTTGGTCGCAGTTCATCCCGCTGACCTCCGTCCGTCTGACTGTGTGTTTGTTTACATCAAAAGCGCCACTGCATCGAAAATAACCCGCCGAACGAGAAACGTCATCAGGCGGCGCCGGGTGGTACCGTTCAACACAGTCTGGGGGGAGGAGCGGGGTTATTTCTGGGTCAAAAGAAGTCGGTTTGTTTCATTGAGTCGAATCCAGATGATATAACATATTGGTGACGTGATAACAGTTACATTCGTTCAGGGTTTAATTATTAGGATTCAAATGCTTTCCTTTCCACACCCACGTCACCAACTCATGTCCTGTGCCTATTGAGTAACGTCACTCCAGCGCGCCACAGGAAGAAAACAAACTGCAATCTGAAAACAGTCAGTGATCAATAACTGATCAATAACCGTTATTAGCAGCCAATAAGGTGACCGGATGTGTTCTGGGACGGAACACAGTTTCTAACGGACCAGACTCTGAAGTTCTCCCGGTGAGTGGATCCAGATCTCTGGGAGAGGAGCTCCCCGGTCCCGGTGTTTCAGGTTAGCCGATTATATTTGTTTACATGTTCCAGGTGCAGCATCCGATGCTGATTAAAAATATTTAAATAAAGTTAGAGAAAAAAAAAACTCTGACTGGACTCCAACCTTTGTTTTTATGACATAAATCACAAACCGACATTTTCCTGCTAACGCCATTGAGCAGCTCAGCGGGAGTCTGAGTTCACCTGCAAACACCTGCTGCTGATATGGTGACAGGCCAGTGCTGGTCTGGGCATCAGGAAGCTGGTGATCCACTGGCAGGTGGAGGTGGGTGAGCTTCTGGTGGAACATGTCTGGGATGATGGTGTTGAAGGCCAAACTGAAACCCATGAACATGAACAGCGTGTGTCTCAGGTTGGTCGAGGTGATGCAGTATGTAGTGCAGACCCATAGTGACTGCATCGGATCGGCTGACCCGTTTGCCCAGTAGGCAACTTAGAGAGAACAGTCATCTTGATTTTAACATCAGGATAACAGCAACTTACCATCTTAGTGTTTCAATTTCTTCAAAATTAACAATAAAGGGCTCTGATGTAACACAACCATGCATTCAAGTGAGGAAATATCCCTTTCCATTTACGGCAATCTATCAAAAGTTAAGCAGAGTCTTCTTAACTCACAGCTTCCATGTTCTCTTCCATGTGTTGCATAAGGAGGCAAGCCAAAGAGGTGGAGTTAAATAGTATCCAACAAATTCACAGAGAACAGGATGTGATGTGTGGTGGTGTAGGGAAGTAGGAAAAGGTTTAAAACTTGTCATTTTAACTAAAAGTGATCTGCTGATCAGATTTGTTCTGAGCTGAGCCAATCAGACTGTTTCATACATGTAAACAGGTAACAGCTGCAACCAATAAGAGTCACCCAAGTTTGAATCACAGAGTTTTGAATCCTCTTTAAGACACACACACACACTGTCTGCTGTCTGTAATCATCAATGTCTGCAGTCACAGGTGGATGAAGGTGGGGGTGAAAGTGAATCAGGGATCTGCTCTGAGCTCTTTCTTGTTTGCAGTAGTAATGAACACACTGAAAGATGAGGTCAGGCTGGGGTCACTGTGGATGATAATGTCTGCAGATGATACTGTGACCTAAGGTGAGATTAGGGAGCAGGTGGAGGTATGAAAGAGTAGAAGCAAGATAGAATACATGAGTGTGAATGAGAGGGAGACAAGTTGGAAGGTGAACATGGAGAAGCAGAGGTAGTGGTAGAGGGTCGTCCATGTAGTGAAGGAGGACATGCAGAGGGTTGGTGTGACATAGGAGGAGATGGAGACATATGACTGGCTGAAATGTTGTATGAGTCATCATCAGTGAGTGTACAGTGGAGCTATCCTACACATGACAGTGACTTGTTTCCTGTGTTGACCTTCATACTCATCGTCATGTGAAAGTTTAATATTTAACCGGTCTCTCCACCTCAGGGACTGCTGACCTCTGACCTCCACCATGAGCTCCCGGGTGTGCAGGACCTGCGGGGGGTCTGATATTGACGTGGACCAGGCTCGTGGCAGCGCCGTGTGCACCAGCTGTGGTTCGGTTCTGGAGGACAACATCATCGTGTCCGAGGTCCAGTTTGTGGAGGGAAGCGGAGGCGTGTCGTCCGCCGTGGGACAGTTTGTGTCTGCTGATGGTGAGACGCCAACAGAGGCAGGTTAGGGTGGTTTAGGGTGAAACAGGAAGGGCTGGTAATCCGCAGCATCAGCAAGTTTCAGAGACCATGTGAGTTTGCTGAAGTCCATCCAGGTTTCACAGATACAGCTCAAGCAGGCTTCGGACGTCTCTCTGACCAGTTCAGGTAATTTAATTAGTGCCACGTTTTAGAAGAAAACATCATGAGAAACAAGTCGCCGTGTTTCAAAGCTTCTCATCCAGAATCAGAAACATGTCCACCTGAGCATTCCCCTCGTTGTAATTAATTGATGTCCATCATCCCATGATGCATTGAGTATTCTTCAGTCACTATGTGTTAATAGACCTTTCTGCACCGAAGCATACTTGTTATTAATCTCTGTCTCTCTTCCATAGCATGTCTTTTATCCTGTCTTCCTTCTCTCACCCCAAGTGGTCATGGCAGATGGCCACCCCTCCCTGAGCCTGCTTCTGCTGGAGGTTTCTTCCTGTTGAAAGGGAGTTTTTCATTCCCACTGTCACCAAAGTGCTCACTCATAGGGGGTTATATGATTGTTGGTTTTTTCTCTGTATGTATTATTGTAGGGTCTGCCTTACAATATAAAGTGCCTTGAGCCGACTGTTGTTGTGATTTTGCGTTATATAAATAAAATTGAATTGAATTTTTAAAGTCAGTAAACACGTTTGCTATACAATCATTCCACCCTAGAATGAACACTCAACTTTGACTTCATGCCTATGATGAGTGTCTAACACTAACCTGTCTTTACCCAAAATGCTCTGCAGCAACTACAGTGTCAAAAGTCAAAGTCCTCTGAACAGCTGTCTTTCTGTCTGCCCATCAGGTCCCGTTAAAGCGCCACTTCTTGGTTCTGGTTTCCACACCAGCGTTGGTAAAGAGTCGCGAGCCCAGACACTTCAGAACGGTGAGTCCTTTGACTGTTTGGGGGCAGGGTGTCCAGGTGAGCCACAGGTGTAACGAGCCTGTGTGTGTGCAGGTAAGCGTCAGATCCAGCAGCTGGGCAGTCAGTTGCAGCTCAACCAGCACTGCCTCGACACCGCCTTCAACTTCTTCAAGCTAGTCGTCAGCAAACACCTGACCCGGGGCCGCAAGACAGAGCACGTCATCGCTGCCTGCCTCTACCTTGTGTGCCGCACTGAGGGCACGCCACGTATCCTAGCAACCACTCTGACCCACTGAGCATGTGCAAACTGCCGAGACAAACCTGAACTCTGAAACCGCGATGGCCTACAGTCAGTTTACATGCAGCCAGGTGAACCACTGAACTGGTTTCCTCACCTGTAGCTCAGGTGTGCAGCTCATCTCCTCTTTTAAAACGACCGTATTTTCACGACCATAAGGCGCACTTAAAAGTCTTAGATTTTCTTCAAAAAGTACGGCGCGCCCTATAGCGCAGTGCGCCCTGTGTGTTGTAAGGAGGACGTAGTAGAGAACACCATGAGAACGCTAAAGGGTGAAGTGTGAGCGTTGATCGTATATACCGGACAATCGCACATACCTGTATAAAAGGACAGGTATGTGCATTATGTGGAACATCGTTGTTTTAACAACCCTGAAAATGGCAAAGAGACACGCTTATGAAGCACAGTTTAAACTGAAGGCCATCAGCTATGCGGAGGAACATGGAAATCGAGCAGCTGCGAGAGAATTTAAGATTAACGAATCGATGGTTCGCAAATGGAGGAAGCTAGAAAACAAGCTCCGGCAGGTCAAGAAAACGCAGCTGAGTTTCCGCGGACATAAGGCGAGGTGGCCCGAGTTGGAGGAAAGACTCGAGCGGTGGATCATCGAGCAAAGAACAAGCGGGAGAAGCGTTTCGACGGTCACCATTCGGCTAAAAGCAGTTTCACTAGCTGAAGAGATGAACATTGAATATTTCCAAGGAGGTCCGTCTTGGTGCTTTCGTTTTATGAAACGGTGCCATTTTTCCATCCGGACCAGGACTACGGTAGCGCAGCAACTTCCAGCGGATTATAAGGAAAAGCTGGCCATCTTCCGCAGCAAACACATCGGCGACAAAAACATCCAGCCCAGCCACATCACAAACATGGACGAGGTCCCGCTCACTTTTGACATCCCGGTGAGTCACACTGTGGAGAAGAAGGGGACCAGCACGGTAGCGATACGCACAACGGGGTATGAAAAGTCTTCTTTTACTGTTGTGCTTGGCTGCCATGCTAATGGACAGAAACTGCCGCCTATGGTGATTTTTAAGCAAAAGACTTTGCCTAAAGAGAAGTTTCCAGCAGGAATCATAATTAAGGCAAATGAAAAGGGCTGGATGGATGAGGAAATGATGAAAGAGTGGCTGAGGGAGGTGTATGTAAGGAGACCAGGTGGTTTTTTCCACGCATCACCATCGCTCTTAATCTGTGACTCTATGCGTGCCCATCTCACAGCCGATGTGAAAAAAACTAGTGAAACAAATGAACTGTGAGCTTGCTGTCATTCCGGGAGGCCTGACAAAGGAACTCCAACCGCTGGGCATCGGTGTGAACTGCCCGTTCAAAGTAAGGCTGCGAGCGGCCTGGGAGCGATGGATGACCGATGGAGACCACAGTTTCACCAAGAGTGGAAGGCAGCGCCGGGCGAGTTACGCCACAATTTGCCAATGGATTGTAGATGCTTGGGCTAACATGTCTGCTGGCACTGTTGTTCGAACTTTCGCAAAAGCTGGCATCATTTCCGAGGAGCCGCACGGCACGGAAAGTGACTCTGACGGTGAAGAAAGTGAACCTGGCATGTTTGATGGAGATTTAGCGCAGCTGTTCAATTCAGACACAGAGGATGAGGACTTCAATGGGTTTGATTGATGATAAAAATGTGAGTACCAAACTTTGTTTTGCTCCTGCTTTATTTTTAAATACGCACACTTGTATGCTTGTATGTTGTTGATGATGACAATTACTGGTAATAAAAATGTGAGTACCAAACTTTGTTTTGCTCCTGCTTTATTTTTAAATATGCACACTTGTATGCTTGTGTGTTGTTGATGATGACAATTACCGGTAATAGAAATGTGAGTAAGGTACCGAACTCAGGTTTGCTCCCGCTTTATTTTTAAATATGCATACAGTACTTGTATGCGCCCTATGATCCAGTGCGCCTTATGTGTGTGTTAAATACAGTAATGGCACACATAACTGAGACTGCGCCTTTTAGTACAGTGCGTCTTATGGTCGTGAAAATACGGTATGAGGAGAAAGACATCAGATTTTCATCAGCTGCAGGTGGATGCAGGTTTGTCACAGGAACTGATCCATCAGCGGTACATTCAGATGTCCATCACCCTAATGTGCTGCAGATGTTCTGCTGTTTAAGGTGATCAGAAACACCTGGAACCAGTGATTTACAATTTTAAATCAAACACAAACGTGATAAAAACACCGAGGTTACAGGCTTCATTCTGACCTTTCATCTCCTGGTTTTCCTTATACAAGCCTCAGACATGCTGCTGGACCTCAGCGATCTGCTGCAGGTAAGACCGAGCCTCAGCTACTCTCAGTGGAATCTCAGTGGTGTCATTAAGGTGTGAGCTCTATGCTGTGTGTCCAGGTAAATGTCTACATCTTGGGAAAGACCTTCCTGCTGCTGGCTCGTGAGCTCTGCATCAATGCTCCCGCCATTGGTGAGCTATTTACTCATTGTATTTATTTAAAGCACACAACACTGGAAAAGCAGAGAATGCAGTCTCACAGATGATTTAAAGTGTGATAAACATGTGCAACATGTGCTGACATCCAGAAATAAACTGTAAATAAAAAAAAACAAAAAAAAAACCCACCAATCACATTTATCAGTTTCAACTTTATATTTTTTGTCTGCAATGCTTTTCTACTGAATACAGGCTTCAAATAATTTGTTGTTGCATTCAAATTTTTTATTTCCGTTTTACACATGTGACCTTGAACACAACAAGTAAAATTCATTATCCACAGCACAAAAAAAGTTGAAAATCCCCCACAGTGTGAGATAGGGATGGGTATCGTTTAGGTTTTATCCGATACCGGTGCCAAATTGGTACTTTTGAAACGGTGCCGGTGCTTAAACGGTGCTTGAACCGGTGCTTAAAGAATGGAGAACACAAACTTTGTCCAAAAACCTCTCATGTTTAACTGTTTCCCACTTTTTCTTTGGTCATTTTAGCCTTTTTGGCCAGGGTGAAGGGAGTATCTGCCATCAAACAAGAAGACAGCCGCATGTAGCTATGATGATGTTTGCTAGTTCACCTTACATGCATTAATGTAATAACGTGGTTAGCCTACTCAACGTAAATTACACACGGACAACAAGCTACTCACGCAGAGAAGAACGGCTGCTGCATCATCCGTCATCATTTCTGCTACACTGGCAGGGCTAGGGGCCAGGACTCTATTCTTCGGGTGTTTGGGGGATGTTGCTCCGGGTCCGATAACTGGCAACCCACCCGACGTGCACGGTGTGAGGTCTCGCAGCAAGCTATCAAATACGGCGCATTTCTCGGCTTTTAAAAAAAACGCTATGCGTCGCCAGCTGTTTAATCGGATTCTTGGTGTTACCTCCTTTGACAGTATCACAGTATCAGCTTAAAGCACTTGTTGCAGGCTGCTGAGTTTTCATATTTTGCTGTGAAGTACAGCCAGACTTTTGACCGCTTCGCCTTGGACATTTTTAATCTGTAGCTCTGCTCTAACAGAACGTACGTACCTGGCCCCGCCTACTATCCTCGGAAACGTAAAATGATTGGCTAGAAGTGTATCACAGCTCAGGAAAAAAAAGCACCGAAATAAAGCACCGAAATGTGCGCTGCTTTTCGGTCTGGTTACTACCGTTTATGTCAGAACCGGTGCCATGACACCGGTACCCATCCCTAGTGTGAGACCACATAGCCACATCTAGTGGCAGTAGCAGAAAAACTACAACTTCCTTTATTCATTTTCTCAAATATTCAGGAGACTTTAATATACACCAAACACTTCTAAAAACCTGACAGCCAATCAGCTCTCAGGTCCACGGCATTGTTCAATCAGCTGCCAATTTCCAATTGCCAGGTCCATTGATTGAATCTGAGCTCCAGGCTCCGACTTCCTGCCTGTTGGCTGAATCCCTGGGTCCAGTTCAACAGTAGAAGATGAGCTCTGGGATCTGCCCCCCCTGCACCCCAGTGCCATTGGTACTGTCTGATGAGCACTGGAACTGGAAGGTCACTTTCCCACACTGCACTTCAGTCATCCCCTCCTGGCCAAAGTAACTCAGCTCGTTTCCGTCCAGGACGGCACTGACTGTGTAGAAGGTGTCCTGCTCTACCTGCACCGGGTGCTCGAACCACACCGAGAAGGTGCTGCTTGACCCATCTGACAGAAACTTGTTGAGATTCTGGGCTAGAACAGTTCCCTGCCTCTTCAATTCAATCCTCACAACGTACTCTGCCTTCCCACCACTGGAACCGTACAGACCAAGTCCAGCTACAAAAATCCTGCGATCCACGGCAAACTGGATGCTGTCACAGCGCCCCCTGTAGCGCCACTGGTTGCTCCGGTAGGCTGAGGATTGGAAGCGGTGGCACCTCTGTGGCAGTAGCCCCGCCCGCTTCACAGTGGGGAATTCCAGCCTGGGTTTGTTGGTAGCAGTGAACCACAGAAAGACGTCGTGGGCCTCTTTGAGCGTCAACACATCCGACTGCGCTGCCCCATCTGCAAACTCCTGCAGTGTCATGGAAGGGAATCGGACCAGGTACAGGGCCTTACCAAGCACCGTGCGTTGATTCCTGGGGTTCACTGTCAAGCCCTGCCGCCGACACTCTGCCGCCGCCCAGCACAGCAGTGCCTGAAACACCACGATCTCACGGGTGTTGAGTGTTTCTCTCTGCAGGATTATCTCCAGCGTGAGCAAGTCGATCTCACAGAAACCTTCAGAGCGCAGAGCGAGTTCGGCTTGAGCGTCGATCACCTCCCAGCAGTGCTGCGTCAGTTCCGGCTCCTCAAACAGCCGACTCTGAGACAGCAGCACACAGGCATTCTTTGCCTCAAGGCTCGTCTCCAAGAAGGCTACGCAGGCCCTCGCCAGAGCAGGGACAATATACTTCTTAGCAGCATATAGCGTGGCGAGCACGGTATCAGCCTCCAACTCAATCTCATCGCTGTACATGTACCTGAGATAGAGAAAATAGTAGGATGAGGTCATGTTTCGACAAAAATTGTACAACACGCGGCACCCATAGCTGACTGTAGTGGGTTTGTGTACCACCACAGTGGAGCAGAAACAGAAGTTACCTCAATGTTATCAACATGATGGATTGTGAAATCTGGTCTGTGGTCCCTTTTCTCGAGCTACACCATAAACTACAACGCCTGCCTTACTCTCCTGTCCCTTCAACCAAATCCTGCTTCAAGAAACAAAATCACTGGAGCTGAACTCCTTCTGCCCAGCCCACGGTGTCTACAGTCTTCAAGCACGTCCCACCACAAACCTCCACCCTACCTCAGATCCTGCCACAGAACACTTTTCAATTTGGTCGAAACACTAATGGCGGTACTCAGATCTGCACTGAAAAAGATTTCATAGTCACGTTCAGGAGTCAAGTGTTCAGGATACTAACAAAACTTTTTATGTTTTGTAATAATTTTTTTCTGTCAGACAACGTTTTCTCAGATTGTAGTTCTGTGAAGCCTGTGCCTCTCTGATTCCATTGCTATCCTAGCCTTTATCCTTCTATCCTAGCCCAATGAGGCACACTAGAAAGGCAGCTGTAGCTCCACATGAGGCAGAATGCAAAGCTGGGGGTCACCTGAGTGAAGGAGACTACTTTCAGGACTCTGCTTGCTGCTATTTCACTAACAGTGGGCCTGGTCTTGATTTCTGACTCACTTTAAGAGGATGAGAAAAGCAGCCGGCTCAACATCAGGGATCTGGATCACAGACTGTCCCTCTGCCAGATCTCCATAAAACATGGCTCCAAACACCGAGCTGCCCACCGCCAGGACGTACTGCCATACAGAGGAATCCATTAGAATCTGGACCACAGCATCAAACCGTATGCTCTGGATCAAAGTGTCAGTGGGAACAGGTTCTGTACCTTATGAGCAGGCACTGTCTGAGTCTCTCCTGAAGAACCGACAATGAAGTGGACATCAGCCATCTGCTCATTGTTGAACATCAGAGCGTTCCTGCAGCCACACAACATAATCAACAGACAACAGCAAAGTACAAGGACGACAACAGACTCGGGTTAGCACATCACATTTCTTAGTAGCTAACATAGCCAAAAATGCAGAATGATGATAAAGCTGAATGTATGCAGACCCCAGCCCAGCAGCCAGAGCCTGAACTTCAACACATGAGGACATGCTGGAATGGCAAGATTGCTCAGAAGTCCTGCCATTAATTAATTAATGCTTCAATCTTAAATATGGTCAACCTATCTCTATTAATCAGCTATGTATCACAGGCCTTCAAGCTGGTAGTAGTTAAACCGTTGCCTAAAACGCCATTTCTAGACCCACCGGTGTTAGCTAATTATAGGCCAATCCCCAACCTTCCTTTCATATTAAAAATTCTTGAAAGAGTAGTTGTCAAAGAACTAACACATCAACTGCAGAGGAATGGCTTATTTGAAGAGTTTCAGTCAGTTTTCAGAGCTCATCGCAGCACAGAAACAGCTTTAGTGAAGGTTACAATTGATGAGGGTTCTGTTATCATCAAGAGACATAGCATACATTTTCACTGCTATGCAGATGACACAGCTTTATCTATCCATGAAACTGGATAACATTGACCTCCACTCATCCCCAGCTGTTCACAGCAAATGGTAAATGGCCTGTATTTATATAGCGCTTTACTAGTCCCTAAGGACCCCAAAGCGCTTTATATATCCAGTCATCCACCCATTCACACACACATTCACACACTGGTGATGGCAAGCTACATTGTAGCCACAGCCACCCTGGGGCCCACTGACAGAGGCGAGGCTGCCGGACACTGGCGCCACCGGGCCCTCTGACCACCACCAGCAGATGGTCACCCCTCTGTGAGCCTGGTTCTGCTAGAGGTTTGTTCCTGTTAAAAGGGAATTTTTTCTTCCCACTGTCACCAAAGCACTTACTCATAGGGGGTCATATGATTAATGGGGTTTTCCTCTTTCTTTTTTGTGAAACTAGATGTTACAATCCCTGATATGGGATTGTAACATCTAGTCACTTTACTTAAACAATATAAAGCACCTTAAGGCAACAGTTGTTGTAATTTAGGACTGTAAAATTAACATTGAATTGGATGGGGCTTTGTGTTGGGGCTGTGTTAGCAACAAACATTTTAATGTCCTTTAGATGAAAAAGAAGCAATGTCTGCATAGTCAATTTGTTGTCCTCTTATTGTTGTTGTTTATCTCTCTGACTGCTTGTGGTTGTTGGTGGTGGGGTTTGTTTTTTTTTTGGTTTTTTTTTACCTTTCTCTGAGGGTGGGGTGGGAAGCTTGCCAGCTGTCTGTTTCCTCCGGGTTCCCGTCATGGTTATTTGGCTGTGAGGCGGCAATGCCGCTGTCTCCACAGATGTCTTCGGCAGTCAGCTGCAGGTCGCTCACCTGAATGAAGCTCTTCTTCACCTCCAGAACCTCCACCTCCTCGTCTTGAGGGAGACTGGTGGAGAACAGCTCGGCTGCCATGTCCTCCTCAGAAAGCAGGCAGAGTCAGCAGTCACAGCATCGCAGCCTGCTGTGGGTCAGAGAGAGCGGGATGTTATGATCCACAGAGATTATGATCCAGATTATCTGACAGCAGAGCGTCTCCTTTGTCCTAAAGCAGACAACTGACAGCAGCTGCAGGCTCATCATAATCTGGATTATCTGATCGCTGATATCATTCATCTGAGGGTGTCCAGGTGTGTTTACTAAGGCGGTCTGTAATACTTCACCTGTCTGCGCTGCGGTCATTGATCTCTGATCACTAACATGGATCCAGCTAATAAACAGTATCTAACCCGCAGAGGTGTGGATTCAGCAGACCGCTGTTATTATTAACATCAGTGTGGCCCAGAAAGCCACGCCCACCACATCTGTTTATCTTCAGCGAACAGGAGATCGGGTCTCTGTCCGGTAACAATCGATCATCACTAATCACAGCTCTGAGTACCGATCACGTACCAGATTCTCAGCGTTGGACCTGTGGTGCGTGTCATGGAGCTTTGGTATGCGGGTTACCTGTGTGACGTCTGCCGTCCCCGCGTCCTTCCGCCGTAAACGTTAAAAACGAGCAGATCGCTGCAGCCTGCCTCCGGCCGCCATCTTACACTGTAGTACCGCCTTCACCACCGCTCCGCACTGCAAGAGGGCAGCAGAGCGCGGGAAAAGAACGCAGCCATCGAGCAACCGCAAATGTTTTCATGAACACCAAGCACGGAAGTGTGTCCGTATGTTTATGTTTGCTACGTACAGTGTGTGGTGATGTCTGTGTCCAAGCCACTGTTATGAAGAAAAAAAAATACTAAGCGTGTTAACAAGCAGTCTCTCTCACTCACACACACACACACACACACACACACGGAAATGCAGCTTCTGAGTGCAGAAGCGGCTCAGTGGATGCTGAACACTGGGATAGTGTGAACACACCTCACGTGCGGTGTAATTTCAGTATCCTTGGTGATTATTGAGGGTTTGCAGTCATGAGGGGAATCTTCCACATATTTTCTGCAGTCTCTGATATGATGTGTGATCAGTGTAACTCACAGCTAACTTACAGAGCCCTGATGCAGATTCAATCATTCAGGTAAAGAAATCCCAGAAAGCTGATTCAGTTCTGGATTTAACAGTCAACAGTAAATGTAGTGGGCGGAGCTGGACACAAAGCCTTTAACTTAAGTTGAACTTAAGTTTGAATACTGTTTATAAATCTCTGCTGATGCCACAACAAAAAAGCGATCTTTTGCCTGCTGATGAACTTTGACCCTGTGTGGCCACGTTTATTAACATTGAAGCACTCCTTCCCCTCCTCAGACCCCTGTCTGTACATTCCTCGCTTTGCGCACATGTTGGAGTTTGGGGCGAAGACTCATGAGGTTTCCATGACGGCTCTTCGTCTTGTACAGAGGATGAAGAGGGACTGGATGCACACAGGACGCCGACCCTCTGGACTCTGTGGAGCAGGTGCAACCTGGAATTTGTCACTATAGCAACAAACGTCAGCGGCAATGTGCATGAAGCAGACATTAACACTCCTTCTCTTCCTCCTCCTCAGCACTCCTGGTAGCAGCTCGGATGCATAAGTTTCGGCGTTCAGTGAAGGACGTGATTGGCGTGGTGAAGGTCTGCCAGACCACACTGAGGAAGAGGTGAGCCCCACAAACACCTGAATACACCTGACCCCCACCAAAACAGGAAGCAGATCTCAGCGCCTTTCCCTCCCTGCAGGTTAACTGAGTTTGAGGACACGCCCACCAGTCAGCTGACCATTGATGAGTTCATGAGAGTAGATCTGGAGCAGGAGTGCGACCCCCCCTCATTCACTGCTGCACAGCACAAAGCCAAAATGCAGCAGGTACATCTTTGTCTCTGATTGGCTGCAGCAGCTAGGTGTCCAATTAGCTAACCACTCTGTGCTTCCTGGTTTCTTGCAGTTAGAGCAGGAGCTGGCTAAGAAACTGGATGAGGTCGAAGGTCAGTTTCTCCTTTTTACCTGGGTGGGCTGCCTCAGATGAGAGGGGGTTACGTATTGAATCTTTGAATCACAGTGCATTTCCTGTCATCATCAGGAGAGATCAGCTGCTACAAAGACGAGATTGAAACCGAGCTGGAGAAGAGTCGGCCCAAACTCAGAGGAATCTACGCCGCTTACACCAAAGAAGTTGGTCAGTTCTTTGGGTTACCTGACTGTCTCACCATGCCCACACAGTCACTCAGCTGCTCCCACCTTTTCTGTTTTCAGACCCCGAGGACAACGGCGAGGTTTTGTCAATGCCATCAGAGCCCGAGGAGGTTGAGAGCGAAGATGTGGAATTACAAGCGGCCACCCACCACCTGACTGAGGACTTCCTGTGTCAGGTGATCCAGGAGGAGGAGGTACGTGGCATGAAGGGAGATCCGGTGGCAGAGCCAGAGAAGGAGTCGATGGGACCACACCGTCAGGCTGCCTCTCTGACCTCCATTCTGGGAAAACTGCCAAGCGCCGCCAGCCTGAGCCTCCAGCAGACTTTCCAGACCTCGGACACATCAGAGAGTGGCGAGAAAGATCTCGGTGAGGATAACGACTGTAACAGAATGGTGACATCACCATTAGATCATAGGGCAGTTAGAAATCAAGCTCTGCGTTTACCTTCAGGTGACCACCCACAGAGCGAGGAGCTGGACCTGGAAGGTATTGATGATCAAGAGATCGATAAGGTCAGTTCACAGTTCTACAGGTACAAAGATACCTGAGCAACTTTTACTGTGAAAGGACCCAACTGCACGTGCTCTTTTCTGATTGGCCTGTTCTGTGTGATACAGTACATCCTAAATGAGAAGGAGGTTCAGGTGAAGACGGAGCTGTGGATGAAGCAGAACGCCGAATACCTGAAGGAGCAGAAAGGTGCTCATCAGCAATCATTGATGGGTGTTATTGATTACTGATTCTGATTGATTTGTTTTTGTGTTTCCAGAGAAACAGGAGCGGATAAACAAAGAGAAGGAGGAGGGCACCTACAAGGAGAAGGTGAGTGAAACCAGCATCCACTCAAGAGCCTCACCTGAAGCTCCACCCACCTAATCTGTGACCCCATGTGGTGAATATTTTGTCAGAAGAAGAAGAAGTCTAAGAAGCGGGACCAGATCGAGGCATTGACAGCGGGCGAGGCGATTGAGAGAATGTTAGAGAAGAAGAAGATCTCCAGTAAGATCAACTACGATGTCCTTAGAGATCTTAACCGAGGAACAGGAAGTCCGACCAGGTCCCCCGACCACACCCCCGATACCACCGTAGCACGAAAACGACTCAACCGCCGCCGGCGCAGGAAGACCAGTGACAGTAACCAAGACCTTGCAGCCAACACCAGCATTATGGGCAAGAGGTATCTCAACTGATCTGATCTCTCAATAACCTGTCATCAGTAATGAATATTCTTCAACCTGTCCTCCACGCTATCCTGATGTTCTCTCTCCTGCTCTTTCAGGTTCCGCCACCTCATTTCCTCCACACCAAAGAAGAAGAAAACAGCTCATCAGGTGCGCATCCTCCTTGCATGTCTCACCTGTGTGTCCTTCCTCACCTCTCGTACCTGTTACTCCCTCTTACTTGGTTTACCTGATGTTAATCTTTCAGGTAGAGAGAATAGTCACAGTGGTTACAGAAACAGAAACACCAGCAGAGACTGAGTCCAACCCACCCCTTGACTCTGCAGCAGAAACAAGCCCCACCCTCCCAACTGCTCCATCCCCCATGGAGGAGGAAGAGGAAGAGGAGGAGGAGGAGGAGTGTGTTAGCGCTCTGCAGCTGGTGGGAGGTTAGTCCAGACTTTTATTCTCAAAATCATTACAGTAACATTGATTGATTTCATTGATTTTATTGATTTGCGTCATCCAGATTACGGTTGTGATGCAGATGAGGAGGAGATCTTTTGACTCCGCTTGCTGACCTTTTGACCCAACTGAAGAAACTCCATCCAGGCTCCAGAGCCAAGGCAGCTGATCCATATCTCACAGATCAATAACCAGTGTCAAGGGAATGAGTTACTGATCGGTTTTTATTTGCCCTTTAATTGATCCGTGATCATTTTTATTGATCCTCCTACTGAGGTTTTTAGACGCTTTTGTATTGACGTTAAAACCAGCTGTGTGTGTGTATGTAATTGTGTGTGTTTGTTGATCCTGTATTTCAATACAAACAAACAATAAGACAAACATTCCTTCACAATAAAGAAACTGACAGTGGTGACGAGTTTTTCTGGTCTCAGAACCAGACGATCTTGGTTCTGACTGTCCAGTTTTATGTATTTATTTGATTTGATTTTCGGTTGTTACAGACGGGACAGACATGACTGGGGGATAGAAGGAGGAAGGAAGAAAGAAAGAGAGGGAGAGAAAGAAAAATAGAGGGGAGAAGAGATGGTGAGAAAGGCGGGAAGAAAAAAACAAAACAAAACACCTGGATCACCTGTATGGGGATAAGAAAAAACAGAAGAGTAAACAAACAAAAAACAACATAATAAATACAACACAATCACAATAAAGTAGCTAACAGCAGATAACAGTCGATACTAAATATGACATGTTATTGTGCAGTACGCAAGACTGACAGCACACAATGTGCTTTGAGGTAGCAGCCAAGAAAGGTGAAGTGTGTGTCTGTGAAAACCCGTGTGTACACCTGTGTGGATCGGCATGCTTGAATTCAAAAGGTTTCTCCATGTAACGATCTGCTAGGAAGTGTGGGGAGCCACAGCACCGTCCCCCAGGGCATGAAGCAGGTATGGAGGAGATCCAGGCCCCAGACATCCAGAGGTCCCAGAATACGAGGACCCATGGAGGACCACCAGGGGGCAACTGTGCCACCCTCCTGGGAAGAGCTGAGGAGAGCCCCAAACGAGAGGTCACCCAGCAGCCACGGAGCAGAGGCCAGAGGGGGTTGCAGTGACGTGCCTGCGGGCTCTGCAGGCAGCCAGCTGTGCCAGAGAGGACCGGGCCTCAGGCCCAGAGGCCTGAGGGTACCCCACCCACCGGAAGGGGCCCAGCCGGGCCACAGGCGCCAGGTCCTGCCAATCGGCCACCAGGAGTGAGTTGGTACATACATGAGCGCCCAGCCCCAGACACCAAGAACCACCAACACACCAACGTCTGAGGGCATCAGCTACTGGCAGGGAGTGTGGTGAGGGGAGATAGGCCTCCATACCTCGGAGAGCCTGAGATGTTCCCAGAGAGGTGGAGTCTAGGTCCCAGCTGACATATAGACACAGACAAAGAGGCGTACGCAGACACAAACATGCATTCCCACCCCCATATACACAAACAAATACTCGGCACTCACCCGACGTGGAGACAGACACAAATAGGCACTGTACACACATTCACACTCCCCAAACATACTCTACATCAGAGGTCCGGGTACCCCCGCCCCCAGAGGGGCAAACCATACCTGGACCCAGGAGATGTAACCCTTCTCACTGGGGTAGAGGAAGGCAGACCGCCTCCTTATCTGCAGTAGCAGGGAGGCCCCGCATCCCAGACCCCAATCCGACGGCCAGCACCTCCTCCCAGCCCCCCAGTCCCGATGGTTAACAGAACGCGGGGTGAGTGAAGACCCCAAACCTGAGTAATGTGGTTGTCTAGGTTGCGGATTAAAATTGAGGCACAGGTGGCCAGAAGGGGGCAGAGGGGGAGTGCCTCCCCTGCACCCTGGTGACACACCTGCACCCCAAGTCCTGCGTGTGTGTGGTGGATTGG